ATTTCGAAATAAATAAATATTCAATTTAATAATTTTAATTACAAATCAATTTCAATTATTTAATATTCAAGATACTAAGTCTTAAATATTTTGAGCAGTAAAGCAAAATGCAAACTAAAAAAGAAAAAAAATAAGGAAAAATAGTGCAATGATAGCATTTTAAAGTACGATAACTTTCGAACAAATTGGAATTGTGAAAACAAGCTCTTGGAAACAAATTTCATAAACAAATATGGTTCTTTCAGGAAGTCAAATTTCAAGTTAAGTGTTTCATTTCTGTGACTTGCAGTGTTGCCCGTATGATGTTTTTTACTGCAAACTTAATAGTAAATAATTTTTAATCTAATTATCGAATGTAAAATTTTTCTAATGCATCGTACTCTTTGTACATTTTCTACACACCATCGTAATTTCAAGCTTTTAAGTCATATGTTCAACCAACGCTTACTGTAACTGAAAGCCTCCACACGGTTTTTCACGGATAGTCCGATCAGGCCACTGTGAAGGATATCCACTTTCTTTCTTTCTTTATTTCGCAAAAACTGGGGACCTGGACAGCGCAGCGGCCCCTATCCCATACATCATGAAATATTATATACATTGATTTAAAGACATTTTGATTTTAGCAACAGTATGGTAACTATTTCTAAAAGTCAAACGTTTTGCTTGATAAATTAAAACATTTTGTACTACAATCAATTTAACGATGGTTATTATATACAGGCTTGATTTGAAAATATACATAGGTACTTATTTACAGACATAATTGGAGATAGATACATTAATCATTATTTGCAACCTTGATCAATGAAAAAGAAACATTGTATTCAAACATAATTAGTGAAATGTGCAATAACTTGATTTGAAAATGCAGTGTAACTTTTTTATGCTAGCTTTTTAAACAAAAGTCAAGCTCTTTGCTTGATAAATTAAAAACATTTTGTATTACAAAGAAATATGATAATTATATACAGGCATGATTTGAAAAATATACGTTGGTATTTATTTACAAACATTATTGGAGATAGATACGTTAATCATTATTTGCAAAAGAAACATGAATTCAACCAAATTTGAGAAATGTGTAATAGTAATTAAATGCAGCTTGATATGAATATTATGCATAGAAATATGAAAGGTGAAATGGAAATTAGGCAATTGAAAATTATTGAACGAGATGATACATAGATAAAAACATAAGTCGAGCTGTATAAATCTTTGGTTTTGCCAAACTTTAGTGGCACCATCTGATGTATGCAACTCGAAATTGAATAAACTGAAAACATTCTATATTTGTTAAATAAGCAGTGTGGAAATACGAAATTAGAGTTCTGTGATTAAAATAAGAGTTCTAACTAAGGCAAGAGATATCACCAGGAGTGGTCTCCCTCATGATCGATTGTAATAGCTGGAACACTTCTTTGTTTTTTAAAAGATCATGAAGTTCTTTGATGATCGTTACCAATCTGTGAGCTTGTCCTGTAGTTGTGAATGGAATGGCACGAGGGCCCCTCCTGGGGGGACGGGCTTTACACCCCGTGTAGTTGGCAGTGTGGGTTTCCCCGCAATTGCAGCACATAGGTGGAGTGTTGATGTCCTTGTGGCACTCGTAAGATCGATGTTCTGCGGCNATATCTGGCTTGCAGTGTTATTTCAGGTTTGCTGGGCGGATCCCGTACTTTGTCGGTATCCTCCTTAGGTTTTGTTGTCGGCAAGATAGTGACGTCATCTGTTGAATTATGTTGGCTAGAAGAAGGACAGCTGTTTGCAGATATGAGTGTAGAATTATCTTCAATTGTTTTGATTGCATTTTGCTTTTTCTTCTTCTTTTTTCTTTTCTTTGCAGGTGGTTCTGTGCTATTGTTAATATTGATGTCCGTGTCTGTTTCTGTATTCGGTGTTGTATTCAGGTTTTCATCTTTATTTTCCATGGTTATGTCTTCAGTGCTTGGATTAATTTCAGTCATTATTGATTCGAGTTGAATGGAGTTTTTATTCATCTCCTTGTTTTCTTCCGCTTGAAAGTTTTTCCTCTTCCACCTGACGTGATAAGCTGCATTTGTCAGTTTTAGGAAGTAGGAGTATTCATAGTCTCCAGAGTAACTTGATCTTATTTGAATGAGCAGTTTGCTAAGTAATTTATCTAAACCAATCAGCTCCTCTGTATCAAACTGAGTGTAAAACTCTACGAGATCGTCAATATGTTCGTGTTCAACTGGTGGAAAGTATTTTTTTGATATCCCACAGATAGCAATGATTTCTTCTAATGACGAGGATTCTTTGCAATGCGACGGTGAATTACGACCAGAGAGTGAGACCTTTCCACCACGAGCTGTTTTATGATACGGCATGACTTGAAAAAACAAAATGGCGGGCTCAAAATCCAGACATCAAAAATGGCTAGTTGACAGTATTATCTCTCCCGACTCCAGATTCTGACGAGATCAAAATAAGTATCACTCACCTCGTAAAGTTCAGGATAATCAGCATCAATTCGACATAACCGGCATCACAAGGGAGAAGAGGACATCAGTAGAGCATCATCCTTCAAGACTTCACTGTCGGAACTGATTTTTCATGTCTGGATATCCACTTACTGAACGAGTCATTTAATACAGAATATAGTTAAAATAAGAAAGTGGTAGTAAATATATGACTAAAAATTTATTTTATTTGTGAATATTACTGGTTTGCCTTATTCACTTGTCAACCACCATAGATTCAATTCTCAAATATATAAGATAAATTTCTCTCAATTACTTTTATAAAAGGTTTTGGGTTCATGCGCACGACTCGTTCACTTTTTAAACAGTTTGCGCAGACTACTTATAAAAAACCGTGTGGAGGCTTCTTGATGTAGGAGGTGATGGTTCAACGCAGCAATGCAAAGTGTAACAGTAAGCTGAACGTCCAAAACTATACAGATGACTCCTACGATTTTTTTATATAAAGAGACAAAAATAAAGTTTCTTGACCTCAATTTTTTTCTCGTAATGTTAAGTATCATATTTTTTAATACAATACAAAAATAAGGAGGGAAGTTTTCCTATTGACGACCGAGGCAATTTCACATAAAAATATTTTTAAACATTCGGGATAAAAGTTATATGATGAAAAAAATTTAATGATTAAAAAACAGTTGGAGTTCTTATATGCTGAAAAATAAAACATTTAACGTTATGTTAAGTGTAACATAATATTATAATAATCATATATTTATTGACCCCGGGTGGCTGTGTGATAACTCTCCTGAACTATGCGGTTCTATCCTCGAACCAGGCAAGGTTGACTCAGCCTTACAACTCTCGATAAAATGATAACATGAAATAGATTTAGAAAAAAAATAGTAAAAAAATGAGTATCAAGCATGCTTGGTGGCTAAACACTAGGAGTTCCGCGTTCATCTGACTATCCAACCGGAACATCTGCTCCAAAGGATGTAAGGTCAGGAAAACTGTGATAGGCACAGTAGGTCTTGGCCTCCTATACAGAAGGTAATTTAAGTACAGAAGTTAAGATTTATGATCACTCCTTGATAGTAGATAAAATTTTGAAAATCCCACACACTTTCCCAGCAAAAAGTTAGTCTTGAAACTCAAATCCATTTTAGGTCATAAGCTTTATGAATATAGGCTCTCTATAATCTCCATAATCTGAAAACTCTATAATCTGACAACACGAACCCTGTTAAAAAATTATCCCCTTTGCAAGTGTACAGGAAACGACAAAAAGAGGAAGACTTTGTGCAAGATGGATGGACTGAGTCAACAGTTGACGGAACATGGAATCTGATAGGAAGCACTCGAGGAAGCTTATTAAAACGACCTGTGCGCTGTAGGGGGCTATAGTGCATATGAAACAAAAGAAAATAAATATTTTTTTTCCTATACCCACCTGTGTAAACATTTTTCGTCAATTCAAGTATCTACAGGGCAGATTTGTTGGCCTCTCTTTCAGGGGCACCATTTTAGGTGTGCCAACGTTGCTCCCTCAGTAAGGACAAATAGTACAAAGAAGGAAAGAATATCCATGCCTTGCACGGGATTCGAACCCAGAACCATTCTGATGCAAGGGCAGTTCCCTATCCCCTACACAGGCTGGTCGGCAGAAAATAAGCAACAATGTAAGAAATTCCATTCCATATATTTCTGATTTTGTAAAAAAAATAACTGTCCTCAAACCATGTAGATGGATGTTAACAAGTAAAAATCTTTAATGTAGATATTGCATGGTATATTGGATTTATTTTTATCACAGTTGGTTAATGTATCTCTTATATTATCACACTTTTTTATTTGCTTTTTTATTCAATCTGTTTTTACATTTTTTATTTGAGGAAGAGTTGAAATATTTTTGTCTTGCAAATGAATGGTTAATCTAACTTATTTGGGTATAAATATTATTAACCTCGTTAAAATTGTTATTTTTAAAAAAAATTCAAAAACTGTGAATACAAGAAAGTTTACATTTTACAATTCCACCGATGACTGGTCGATATGAATTCCGCACCCGGCTCGCACCTATCACAGTGCTAACGTAAAATATTCTCAGTGGTATATGGATCATGGGTCCGAGTCCCCTTGTCGTCAGGCTAACCTTTAGAGGTTTTCCTGGTTTTTCTCTCAATGTAATGCAACTGTTGGTTAGTTTCACCAAAATTCCTCCTCGAGGGCAATTTTCTCTCAATACTTGATCCAGGAGTTCCCTTGTCATCTGGATCGGGTTCAAAATTACAAGGCTACGCAGTTGAACATTAGAAGTCATGAAGTACTTGCTGGGACAATTCCTCTAGATATGGCAGTAAACGTAGAAGCTCAACTTAATAATATTTTCCAACATGAAGAAGAACACTTAATCTATAAACCAATACCTACACCTCATATTTATCATCCGGATGAAGAAGTTTTATGTAAATATCAACTACATTTACCTACTTATAGAGGACCAGAATTATTCACAGATGGATCGAAAATTTTAGTTAACAATGAATTTAGGACAGGATGTGCGCTTTCGTGGCCTATCTGGAGGGAGAACCTGTTGAAAGAAAAACCTTTCGCATCTCTGATCACGTTTCCGTGTTTAAGACTGAATTATGGGCCATTCTCCAGTCGATTCGTTGGATTAAAGAACAAAGAATTACAGATAATATCTCAATTTATACGGATTCCCTGTCTGTCCTGCAAGCTTTGGAAAACAGCAACTCTAAAGAGTATTTAGTCCACTTAATTAAACAAGAATTCACAAACAATATCGTTTTACATTGGATAAAAGCACATGCAGGCCATATGGGCAACGAAGAAGCTGATAAATTAGCCAAATTAGCCTGTGAGAGATCAACGGTCGACCTGTTTGAAGATCCTAGCAGGCGGACTGCAAGAAAAACTTTGGAACGCGAAAAATTGATTGAATGGCAGGAGAGATGGAGTGACAGCTTTACTATGGGAAGGCACACATTCGAGCACCTCCCGAAAGTTCAAACGAGGAAAATCATTGGGAATTTCTTTTTAAATCAATTCCTAACTAATCACGGCTGTCATGGGCAACATCAGGCTAGGTATTTTGGGGGAGCACAACTGTGCAGTACCTGTCATCTTGTTGAGGATTGGGAACACACATTAATCCATTGTACAAATTTTAAGCACATTAGAGAGAAAATTTTTCATTCAAAAACCACCTATGAGTTTATAAAGCAGATTGGTCAAACCCTAAAATAAAAGAGGGAATTGAGGAAATAATAAGAAAATTGTTTAGTAACAAGGGACCTCCCTGAATCCTAATGGCCTCTTGCTGCCTATTGTTAGGAAAGATACACTTTAAATCACGGCTTATTGATTTACCTGTTATAGTTCGATTTTTGTCTTAAAATGTTTGATTTTTCTCTTAAAATGTTTTTTGCGCTTTAATTTCATGCTTTTGTCAATCTCTACCCCTATGTGATTCTTCATTTAGAAAATTTTAATCACCTGTGTTCCTAGAGTTTATATATATATATATATATATATATATACTAAAGATTTGTATATGTATTATAATGAAAACACAGTAATACTAAAAGGCTGTATGAACCAAATTTTTTTTTTTGGACAAATCATTTAATATTCATTCAAACAATATATTCTGATAGGTAGATAAAAAGAGTTACCCTTAACGTTGCGCAGCATAACCAACTTCTAGCCGTCTGCATGACACCTGCTATCAACCACTGATCCGTAGACGGATCAAAATACTCAACCGTGTCATGATATCTGAAATCATTACTTAATATTAAAAAACAATATTACATATCATCAGAGTGATTAATATAGATATAAACATACAGTCCCCGGCTAAATAATTAGACGCACTATAGGATTCTGTGCAAAATCTCAATTATCAGGTGATACTATACAGCAGTGTTTCCCAAACTTACGACTTTTGTGTACCCTTTCTAAACTTCTCTGCGTACCCTTCTTTCTGGTAACGCTGTGTACCACTAATTAAAAAAAATGAATGTATTTTTTACTATAAAAAAATTGCACAAAAGTTAAAAATCACAACTGGCTGTTAACACCACTCATTACTAACTGTCAACTCTGCAAAAAATAGTCAATTGAAAAATACTTAATCGTAAATTTTCATTTCTAGCTTTGTTTTTAAACAAAATTGTTTGAAATTTTGGTTTGTTGCAAGATATTTCGCATAAGAATGCGTACCCCCGCTAAACTGTTCCCGCACCCCAGGGGGTAAGCGTACCACACTTTGGGAAACACTGCTATACAGCATTATTGTTTTTATGCTGCTGAAACCGGTTTACACTTGTTTACGTTCAAGTATCAATGGGTTAACACTGAATACATTAAAAATACAAATAGGAAGTGTATAAAAAATCTCCTGAATAAAAACCCTTTACAAGCATGTTTAAATATAAAAGTATTGCATATAATACTCGTGCAAAACATGTAATTGTTAAAAAACTACAGTGTGTCTAATAATTTGGTCTAATTATTATAGTAAACTAATATAATACTTGACATAATAAATATTCTATATTTATATAATATATCCAATCGTCAAATTTAAATTATATATCGTCTAATTTAATCAATTGATACACGAACGTAAACTGATAACTAAGATTTTACATAGTAACTTATAGTCAGGGTTCGTGATTTTTTTGATTTAAATCAGATTTTTTTGATTTTTATTCAAATACACTGTAAGAACTTTAATTTATGGTTAAAAAAATTATAAATGTTTAATCAAATTAACTTAATATTAAAACTATATTGTGACAATATTTTAGAAGCTCTAACTAAAATAATTTTTCATTATAATACATGGTTTTGAATGCATAGCAACCATTTTGAAACAAATGCATGATTAAAATTTAAAGACTAGATGAAATAGAGAATTTAAAGAATACTTCAGGGGTCTGTTTGGGTTTTTCTGAGAGGTACCTATTTTGTGAAAATTAAAAAGTTATATTAAAAAATCAACACAAATATAGTAAAAATATGGATTTATTGTTTCTTAC